GATAAGATCGGGGCGGTGCCTGGTGGCATGCCTACTGCGTACCGGTCCGGTCCTCGATCTACGTTCTTTTGAAGAAATACTTTAAAGGAACCGACTACTACATCGACCTTGTCGAGCTTTTCCATGATGTGAGCAACCATTCCGCCGCTTTTTGATTCTGGGCAGCGCTAAGACTTTCTAGGTCACCTGGAAAACCGAACTTGGTCAGCTTGTGGACCTTCTTACATCCCCCGAAGGTAGTATTGACTTGAATCGCTTTAACTACGACAAGTACTACTTCATCGTTCGCTACAAGACCGCTTTCTACTCCTTTTACCTCCCAGTTGCTCTTGCCATGCACCAAGCCGGGATTGCCACGCCAGACAACCTGACTCGTGCTCGCGATGTTCTTATACCCCTCGGTGAATACTTCCAGGTTCAGGATGACTATCTTGATTGTTACGGTAACCCTGATTACATTGGTAAGATCGGCACTGATATCATGGATAACAAGTGTGGATGGTTGGTAAACAAGGCGCTTGAAATTGTGACTCCTGAACAGAGGAAACTTTTGGAGGACAACTATGGTCAGAAGAATGCGGCTGCGGAAAAGAAGGTCAAGGACCTTTATCTTGAGTTGAAGCTTGAAGATCATTATAGGAGTTACGAAGCAGAGAGTATCGCAATGGTTAAGGGGTTGATTGACAATGTGGACGAATCTCAGGGGTTGAAGAGGTCTGTGCTTGAAGGTTTCCTCAACAAGATTGCTGGAAGAGATAAATAGACTGTTTTGTAGTTCTGGGTGGATTGGTTAGAAGGTTGAGATATAGAAAGCTATTGACCTTGCTTGCTATCCCTTGCTCGGGCTCGGGGATATATATAGATATCTTTCTTAACCTCTTTATACGGTGCTACATTTTGTTGGATAGAAGTTTTGTAGTGCAAGAATTACAGGGGTTTAACCAATAAAACCTAACCCAATCGATAGGCGCTGGGTATGCCTACTGCTCGAGCCACCGGTAGTTATAATACAAAGTAAGCCAATGCAGCGATGTCGGCAGGGGCACACTAGTACTACCGGTAGTCGTGGGTGGTAAATACCGGCCGTTGGTCATAGTGCCTGCCAGTGATAACAGGTGAATGCGTAGAATCTACGGGGGGAACTGCTATGATATCATACCAAACGTCGGTATGTATTCTTGGAAACCTACGAATACCTACACAGACATACTCGCGGTAGGGGTAAAGTATTGTGGTATGCAGGGGGGGACAAATGTCTGCGAAAAATAATAAGTTCCAATTTATCCGCCTGGCTATTATTATACCAAGGTTGTGTTATTTTCATTTTTAGGTTTGGACTTATGGATGAAGGAAGGTTTGTTGTTTGTTCCAATACTTCACCCCTATGATATAGGTATGATATCATACTACGAGTAATCGCAGAGCACCCTTTACCCCACAAAACTTGATAGCAAAATGACGCTTAGCCAATATTCCTCTAGCTTACCAGTGGCTTGTCTCATGGGAATATTCCCTTCCTGAATGCCCCATGTTGACTCGAGAATGGATTTGTGGAGACTTCTACTGGGAGAGAGGCTCAAGAACTCGATTTTTTTATCAAGCAGACCCACTATTTATATAGCGAAATAGCAACATACCATAGCAGAAAGGCTTAAACCACGCAGAACGGAACGGAAGATTGAGAGAAAACCGAATTGCGTATCCTATCGGCTGATCGAAGAATGACAAAGAGGGGAAAGGGTGTGCGGGTAAGTCGAACTTGGACAAGAGACGCAGAAAGTATTATTTCGACACCGTCCTCTGATTGTTCACGAGTGATAGTTTATGCAAACGATCTATCCGGCTTGAACTCGCGATCTGTAAGCTATTGAAGATTAACGCTAAGTTACACACTAGCGAAACTTTAATAGGATTTTTCTCTCTCCTCATTTAGTAGCTGATCGAAGATGCCTTTGACTTTTTTTTCTTTTTCGAGCTACTCGAATAGAACGTATGTAGTAACAGTGACAGAGTGAACTGACCGAAGGTGGGTGACTGGGAAGCGCTATTGGTGTTACAGTAGAGTGTTGCTGAGGGTTTTGATTGAATGAAAATTTAACTAGTAAGCTCTGGGCATAGGGGGGAGCATGTCCGTCGGGAGCGCTTGTAAAAGATGCGCGATCAGATTCTTTTTTTAATAAAACAAAGAGCTCAATCAGTTCGCTGACGGTCCCACTTTTTAGTCAGTCCCATAGTATGATACTATATCTTGCTTTGGTAGATTGAAAATACTGTAGGTGGAAAGGTCCCATTTTTGAGACGAAAGTTATGGCTAACTTAACCTACTCTTTATTCCGCTGAAATTGTACTAGTTTTGACTAATTTTTGAATGCTATAAATCAGCGCTCCTCACAAACTGAAAAGATGCCGAGCCCGACTCGAGCCGACTTATTATTCCCTGAGCCGAGCCAGCTTGAGTATTTGCAAAGTTTTTCTTTTTCTTTTTTCATTTTCTCAATGTTTCTTTTCAAATCTCGCAGGGGGTAGTAAGATGGAAGGAGACGGGTCCAACCTTAGTATGATACTGAAAAAGTTGGCCGGGATTACGAGAAACTCGAGGATTGGGAAATTAAATTAGATGTGTAGGAGAAGAAATAGAAAGTTGAGGTCAATTGAGGAAGAAAAAAAATCATCCACGAAAATATGATACAGCCCACATTGATTTCTTGTTTCCCTCCTTTGTATTCTCCGCCTCGAATTTCATTTTCTCCCCTCAGGTCTACCGTATAGCCCTACCTTCAAACTTGCGAATCGAGTTATATCCTGTCTCTACTAAGGGCTTGTTTGGATGCAATAGCTCCGTTCCGTTGTCCTATATAAACACCACTCTTTTTGGCCTTTGTTCAACACTGACGAATTCCCGGTGACTTGAAGGGTTTTTTCAGTACCCTTAAAGTAGAAAGTACTTCCAGCACCTGAAGTATCAGAAGAGCTGATCTCGGGAGCACTCTGGGAAACACTGGCACACTGGCACTTTTCTGTCTTTGAGCGCTTCTCGCTAAGACCCTGTAGCCAATCCTTCATTGTACCAATAAGAGCCCGACTTGCTAAGATCTCCAGGCTGATAACTAGTAGGTGTGAAAGTACTGAGAAGTGAAGGAGTGGGTGGAGTTGAGATAAACGAATCTCTTGACTCCAATAGCCTGGGATCAATTTGACACTGAGAGGCGCTTGCCTCGTCTGTATGAGCCTGTGGCTATGGGAAATGGTCGCAAAACGGAACGGAACCATACCAACCAAACAGGTCCTAACAAATCCAGGCTCGAGGAGCTCTAGCCCATTCTATCACGAGCCAAGCCGGCTCGTGTCACAGACTAATATGGCTGTTATCATTCTCTTCTTTTACTTCCTTCTATATCTCCCCTAGTCTTAATCGTAAACGTTTTGTATGCCGGTGTTGGTTCTAGAGGGGACTTCTCCTCGAGTGTCGAGGTGTCAAAAATGGTATAAAGAGCTTTTCTTGACCAATATTACTGCTTAATTGGATTTATTTTTGTGATATGAGAAATTCTTTATACCTATAGTCCTACTCTGAGAGTGGGATGGTATCATACCATTAATTATAGGCAGTGGACTGCG